AATAGGCGGAGTCAATGAAAAGACGATCTTTGGCTTTGCAACACGACGATGCTCTGTCTCACACTCCATTGATTCTTCGCGACCACTTAGCTGAAAATTCTACTCATTGCGTTCCCAAATAATCGTGATTATCCTAGTGACTGTCACAAAACAGCTAGAAGGCACTATGGTCGAACTCCTAGTGACTTCTGGCTGTTTTTTTTAATCATTTATAACAAAATGAACCTTTTGAACATTTTAGTGGACCAACCTTCAGGTTGGTAAGGGGCTAACCTGCAGCGTCGTTTCATATTAGTAGCAATTCGGATTGATCAAATTAAGGGAGAATATTGCGTTTATGTTTCCGTTTAAAAATGCAATTTGCAGGTTCTCAAAAAGTTTAGAACTCAAAATTTTCAACTAAGTTCTTATATAGGAATCTCCCGGAAGGTACGCCTACCTTGCCACTTTTTCTGATTTTCACTGTAGCTAGGATAGCTCCGATGAAAACGGCGGATATAGGAGCATTGACCAGGGTCCACGCTAAGTATTCACTTGCAATAGGTACATGACATCCGAAAAACAGTGGAAGTTTGTAGTTGATTACATGGGTGAACATCAGAGTCTGAAAAATGCATTAAAGAAAGTTCTCGTAAAACATTCAGAATGCAACAAATAAATAAGTATGGCAGAGGAGACACTGTGTCTACATAATTGTCATGATTTGGAGTTGGATGATTGCGGAGAATGTCATAAATCAGGAAATGTATACTACATACAGTAAGTGCCTGTTGTGAAGTATGCCATCTTCTGATTTATTTGGTCCAAATGATGACAACAGAGTTAAGGAAGTACAATGATTGACTAAATAGGTTCCCGATAGATCTGTTCAGGGAGGTTACTATCACGCGGACTTGAATTCTCTCAATTATGACTGAACGGTTGATTGGATGATACCTGGCAGCGGTAGCAGCTTCATTACTGTGTTGAATTGCTGAGTTCGTAGAAGGGTGTGAAGGCGTGAAATGTATAATTGCTGTTTTACAAAGAATCTTCACTCACCACGAGGAAACATGGACATATTAGTGCCCAGGACAACCGAATGAATGCTCCACATGGTCCGAAGAGTCTGAGCAATTTCTCCTGTAGTCGCAAATGCGCCCACTTAGCGTTGCTCTTCATCGGGACGCGTATCATAGATGAAACATCAGACATAAATTTGTTGAGTCCTAGAAAAAAGGTCATAACCTGTAGAAAATTATGGTTGGTACCTAGCTTTCTTACCATATAAATAACAAACGGAGAACAGCACTAAAAACGATAAAATAAATGTCGGCAAGGTAGCAATGAGGTTATCCATTGAATGGAACAAGAAAAATCCTCCCTAAAATAGATTCTGTTCAGTCCATTATGAGCTGGCCCCATCATTGAAACTATTCCAAAGTTGGGTTTCGACATCAACCAAAAAACCACACTAAATAGACCAGATAATGTCCATTGTAGAATTTCTTTTTTATTAAGTCATGAAGAAAATTCTTGCGTTTTTGCGCCTCAAACTTCAAATGCACATATCTCGGCTTAAACAAAACTTCATCAATCGAAATAACAACCATCACTATCGACACACTTCTGCCATAGAGAAACAA